CGTCAACCGCGTACGTCGGAAGCGGCACGCGGCCCGACTCGATGCCGTCGACGTCCTCCACCAGCAGCTCGTAGTGCCGCCTGACCTCCTCTGGCGTCTTCCCCTCGACGGCCTCCGCTAGCTTCTCCCACCTCGCGTCCCCGTCCTCCTCCCCGCCCATCGTCGTCGCCACCGCGTTCTCGAACGCCTTCTCCTGCTCGCGGGTCCACGCCCCGCACCCCTCCTCGCCGCCGCCGCTGCTGCTCGCCTCCTCCACGGCCATGGCTGCGGACCCGGAGCTGACGCTGCGCGGTGGATGAACCCTAAGCAAGCGGCGGCCCCCGCGGAATCCCGCGAGTGGGGTTTCGAGGTTTTGGGGGAGAGCGGAAATGGAGCAGTGGCGGCGCGGCGAGATAGGAGGAGTGCCAATTTGGCTTCGGGAAGGCTGCGGGATAACGAGGAAGGGAATAAATTGGGGGCTTCGAGAAAGGAAGGCGGAGGAGCAAGAGGGGGAGATCTACCGGCGAGGTGGTGAGCTGTTAACCGCGGGGGATATTTTTGGTTTCACCGCGCGGCCGCGTCTGCGCGAGAGAGACGGGGGCTGTCGGACTCGGCCTCCCTCCCCCCTTGTGTTCTGTGTGGAAGGAGGGAGGAGGCATGGCAGCGTGCTGGCCGTGGGCGCCGCGGCCGCCCGTGTCCTGGCTTCCGGACACGGACCGCTGGCGTGCGTTGGATGGTTGGAGCCGGTTAACTGGTCTCCATCGCTTCATCGGCCAACTAATCATTGAGCTTTTACCAAAAATAATCCTCTACGTTTTCTTACCTTTTTTATGACATGATTTGATTTTCCATCATCCAGCCTGTTCGGGAGACCGTATCGTATCGTAGATTATTTACTATTGGCTGATTTGATATGAGAGAAAAACACTATTCCAGACTGTAAATTTACGATCGTTTACGAGCAAACGAGCAGGCTGCATATCTACAACCGTGATCCGTTGACCTCAGCTAATCTGGTTGCGGCAAGTTCCCACTAGACTAGCTTAGCGAGCCATGGTGGCAAACACAATCATAAAAAAACAGCACTATAATACCGAGTTTTATATGTAGCCAATCGTAAAAATGAGCGTCAATATAGTACTTTCTCCGTTCCAAATTATAAGTCGCTTTGACTTTTTTGATACATCTATTTTATTATGCATCTAGATATAATAATATGTCTAGATACATAACAAAATGTATGAACCAGAAAAATCAAAGCGACTTATAATTTAGAACGAAGAGAATATTTAAGTAGACTTTTCCTAGATGATGGAGATAAGGAAACAAGCAGTCTACAATTGATGTTATGAACAACACAATGAACTTGTAGAATCCACTCAATAGTATGTGAGAGTTAATCGTGGCATAAATGGGCCTGTTCGGCTGGTATTAAAGTCGACTGATAAATCGACTGAAACTGTTTTGTTGTGAGAGAAAAATACTATAGATTATAGCTGATAAGCCGACTGATAAATTCAAACGAACAGACCCCTGCAGTTTGATCATCAACCGATGATAAATAGTAGGCACCTATCGGTCACAATATAGATCTAAGATAAGTTGTTCCAGTACCGGTTGGTAATTACATACAGGGTGTGTTTGGTTGTGGCTAAAGGTCTGGCCCTGTTTAGTTCTTTCCTAAAATGTCAAATTTTTTAAGATTTTCCGTCATATCAAATCTTTGGACGCATATATGAAGCATTAAATATAAATAAAAAATAAAGCTAATTACACAGTTTAGACGAAATCTACGAGACGAATCTTTTAAGCCTAATTAGACTATGATTGGACACTAATTACTAAATAACAACGAAAACGCTACGATGTCGTTTTGCAAAAAATTTCGACAACCAAACTGGCCCCTAGTCAAGCTTCTCTAACGTAGTTTTCTCATGTTTGGTAAGGGCCAGTTTAGTTCACTTCATTTTGCAAAAATTTTCAAAATTCCCTGTCACGTCGAATATTTGGACGCATGCATAAAGCATTAAATATAAATAAAAAATAAAACTAATTACACAGTTTAGATGAAATCCACGAGACGAATCTTTTAAGCCTAATTAGATTATAATTAAACACTAATTGCCAAATAACAACGAAAATTCTACAGTAACATTTCGCTAAAAATTTTGCAAAACAAATAGGCCCTAAGCCTGGCCCAACTCATGCCAAAAAAAAAAACGGGGGCTGGCCTGGGTTGCTGGAAACGCTAAATCCCACCGTTCCCAGCAAGCCAGGCTTGTACAAGCGACGCCGCGTATTCGGCTCATCTGCCTGTGGTCCTTCTCCATCGCGACTGCATCTTCCGCACCACCGTCGCCCACCATGCGAGCGCCGCCGGCCTTCGCACGCACAACCACCGGCCACCACGCGAGCGCCACCGGCCTCCACGCGAGCTCCGCCGTCCGCCGTCCGTGTAGCCCCGCGCGACCGAGCTCCGCGCCGTTCGTCCGTCCGTGAGCGAGCCAGCTTGTCCGTCCGTGCGCGAGCTCCGCGCCGCCGTCCTCCGCACGCGCCACCACCACCCGCCACGCGAGCGCTGCCGGCCCCCTCGCGAGCTCCGCCGTTCGTGCCGTCCCGCGCGATCGAGCTCCGCGCCGTCCGTCCGTCCGTGAGCGAGCCAGCCCATCCGTCCGCAGCTCCGCGTAGCCCCGGCCTCTGCACCACGTCCGGCGCCCTCGCAGCTCCACCACGTCCGGTGCGTCCGCCTTGGGGCGCAGCGTCCAGCCATGAATCTGGCAACCCGCGTGTCCGGCAACACCGCGTCCGCCTCGGGGCGCAGCACCACCGCCGGCCATGGACGCCGTATAGATGACGCCCACCATTTGTTCGATAGATTGTGTGAGAGGGGTAAACTTACCTTCACAAAGATAAGGTGAACCTATGCAAGTTAAGCCATGCAATCAAACACACACATTCTAATGCAGACTTAGACAATACAGGGCAACCAAACAAGTGCATGTTGCATAGCACTAGCCAGTCAAGACTGGCCTGGCTTAGATAACTAACACATCCATAGCAAATATGTTAGTGCTGTCCAAACCCCCTCTAATAATATATTAATATAAATCTAGACTTTGCTATTGCTACCATGCTATTGAATAGGGCAACATAAGAGATAATAAGGCCTTGTTTAGATGCCATTCAAATTCCAAGTTTTTTCACTCTCTCTCTATCACATCAATTTTTAGTCGCTTGTATGGAGTATTAAATGTAGGTAAAAAAAAATTAATTACACAGTTTAGTTGGAAATCACGAGATGAATCTTTTGAGCCTAGTTGATCCACGATTGAACAATATTTGCCAAATAAGACGAAAGTGGTATTATTCATCGGGTTAAAAATTTTTGCAAACTGAACAAGGCCTAAGAAACATACACAAACACTAGGTTCGAGTTTGGGAGACAAAAACTACTAACCGGACACGTTATGAGTGGACTGAATTATGATCTTGTTGCCTTTCTGATGGTGACTCTGATATCGGAGTGTTGGTAGAGACATGTATCAATCCCAATCAAGTGCGATCATGTTGCGTTGTTAACCGGTGTATTAGCTAAAGTAATATGCTTCGTTTGATTCCTTGGAATTGAATTCATTCTAATAATTATAATTTAAACATAGATTAATTAAGCTAATATAGTTATATATGAAATATATTTATTGTTAGGCATATAAGGGACATACTTATATGTTGCATTTCTATTGTAGGGAAGTGAGTTGAAGAATGTGTTATAAGTTGGAGAATAGAATTATAGCATAGTGATCTATAGAATTCATTTTCATCTCCCACCCTATGAATTTGAGATAAGTTTATTTGTGAGCTTGGAAATGTTATGAAATGTCAAATTCCAAGCCAAATAGCCTAATCCATTATGTAAATTTTAATTTCTCTAAAATAAAAGAATCCAAACGGTCCTAAATGTTTTTTCATAGCTCGAGAAAAGCTAAAGTTCCTATACACACTTGTTCCTACCAAACTCAAAATAACATGGGAAACTTATAAAGTAAAACAAGTTAAAACAAGCCTAACAAAAATACAAAATTATATAAAACATGTAATTGAAAAGAAATATAAGCAAACGATATTGTCGTCATCAGTTGTCCTCTCTAATAGTCATGTCATGTTTAACATAAAACAAGTAATAAGGTTATCTATTAAAATCACACTACAAACATACCAAGTGGTGTGGATTTTAATTTTTTAGCCAAACGAGAGGTTTCACCGTGCGTGTCGGCATATGAGAGAGTCGTGGGTTGTTCCTCGCTCTATTTTTTTTTGCGTGAGGAGAGAGAAGCATGTCCCGTGTTGGTCACCAGTGTCTCCGTCTCCGCTTCATCTTCCAAGTAACCATTAAAGATATATTTTTTATTTCTTACCCTATCTGTATATGATAGTTTTGTACCCTTTCTATGATAAGACTTATTTTCCGTTATCATAAATAATTTTTAAACAAATGATTTATACTACCAAACCACTAATGAAATTGGCGTGCACCAAAAACAACTTTCTCAAACATTGGCCCACCTAAGTTAAACACTTCCACCTCGATCATCAATACATAAATGATTATAACACAAGTTTGATTACTATTGGATTTATTTAGAAACCACGCATTATACTGGTTGATGTGTACTTCCTCTTTCTAAAAAGAATGCAATCATAGAATAATGCAATGTTAAAGCTTATCAAGTTTGATCAAATTTACATAAAAATAGTAATATTTATCATGCTAAGTAGGCATTATTAGATTCATCATGAAACATATTTGTATAGTATCGTTATTGGGTGACGTGGATTTCAATTTGTCAGCCAAAAAGCCTGCTTCCGAAATCCGAAAACCACCCGGGCAAGGCCTTCGGCGCACGCCCGGAGCCCCGGCCCCCAGACCGTTGAGGAGAGCAGAGCCGAGAGCACGTTCCGATTCCGCTCAGAAATCTCCACTCCAATCTCCCTCGCCTCTCCGCCCTCCTCACCATTTCGCCATGCTGCCGTCGCACCTCAACGGCCACTCCGCCCTAGGGCGGCGCCGCCCGCGCCTCTCCGCCGCCGCCGCCTCAGGAGATTCCGCGGCAGCGGGGGTAGGGGCGGCGGCTCCGCTGGAGGAGCACGACCGCATCTACTTCCAGTCCTACTCCCACCTCGGCATCCACGAGGCTATGATCAAGGTAAGCCGCTGCGCATATGCTCGCATCCGCAGCTGCGTACCCTAAACCCCTCCTAAACCCTAAGTAGCGCAGCCTGTCGACTTCGTTGGCGCCGCGTTTTGAGTCCGAGCAGTGATTCGATGAAATGGCGTCTGTTGACGTTTTTCTTTTGGCAGGACCGCGTCAGGACTGATGCTTACCACACAGCGATCATGTGCCACCAGAAATTTATCGAGGGGAAGGTAAAAACTGCTAGCCAAATTGAGGATGTACTAAGTGTTTCACTTTTTTTTTCAGAGATCTGAATTTAGTGACGGGTTCTGACATTTTGCAGGTTGTGCTGGATGTGGGGTGTGGGACTGGAATACTCTCTGTGTTCTGTGCTCGTGCTGGTGCAAAGCGAGTAAGCTATGGGAATGTTTTGCGGCAACAGCTGCTCATTTTAGAAGCATAGTGTTTTTCTCGGAGCACTTTGGTAGTTTTTGACTTCTGGTTGCTTAGATAATGTAATACACATTTGACATCACACTCTGTATCAGTTGAAGGAACATAGCAGTCAACATTCCAAATTCCATTGTACAGCCTACAACTACAATGTACTAGGACCCAAATGTAGTTTACACTTAGTTTTGCTTGCAAATTTGCAGCTTAATTCAATTGTATGTTCTAACTGAAAGCACTAAAAGTTGTAAAATGCGGCTTATATTTTGTTTGTGCTATTGGAAAGGTAGAAATGGTTTAAGTGTATGTGTCCTGTTCCTTTTTAGCATACATTAGTTCTGTTTTTCTGTTTGTCCCTGATGATAGTGGCAGGAATCTGGGATAACTGAAAATATTGATAAGAGTTGTATCTAGCAATGATTTGTTTTCACTAACCTATTAATTCTGCACGTTAGCATTGATTTTGCCCCCTCCCTCTTTGTATACTCTTTCAGGTGTATGCTATTGAAGCTAGTGAAATTGCTGTCCAGGTAATATGTCACTTCTGAATATATGCTCTAATGTTAACTTGTATGCTTTATTTCTTTTTCTCTATTGTGGATGTCTATAATTTATGTTTGTACTATTCTCATTGTGGTATCCAATTTGGTTAGTTATCCAATATGTGAACATAGTTTCAGTTGACACATACGGGTGTGTTTGGTTACCTGGCTTCCTTCTACCCTGGCTAGGAAATAAGCAGCTAGCCTGAGCCTGCCTCCAGCAAGCCAACATGGACTTTTTTGGTTGCCTACACTATCTAAGCCTGGCTAGCATCTAGTTGTGTTTGGTTGGCTGGTTTGGCTTGGATAGAGTCACCTCTTCTTTGGGCAGGGAACTTCACCCCCTTTGAGGCAATTTGTCGAACACGTGGTGAGCTCCACCTCTCCACCAAGTGAGCTAGCTACTCTAGTGAAGTGAGGCTAGCTGCCAGCCTTGAGCTTGAGCAGAGTAGAGCTTGCTCACTCTTTTTTGTACTAGCACACAGCAATTGTGAGAACAGAGGTTCAAGAAGAGGAAAAGGAAGCTCTTCTTTGGTGGTGCTCGTTTGCTTGAGCTGGTCATCCATGGACGCCTACGAGGCCACCAAGACGGACTCTGCTCCTCTCCTCGTCCGCCCCAATCGAGCATCTTGACGCCGGGACAGAGTAGCGCGATGGAAGCTCTGCTCCTCCTCCGCCCATGGCCGGGGACGCGAGCACCGGGGACCCGAGCTGAGGATGTGAGGACGCGAGCGCCGGGTCTGGTACTCTGGTGGTGGTGGTGGGGGCTGGTGCCCGTGCCGGTGCTGGCGGAGCTCCGTCGTGCCGGCCTCTGCTCCGTCGAGCTGGCGTCCATGGCAGGCGGTGAGGACGCCATGGTTGCAGCACGCGATGAAGAGCCTGTTCTGGCTGCAGCGCTCGATGAACAGGAGCGGACCGTGTGGGGCGTCCATGGCTGCGGCGCGCGGTGAGGAGCCAGAACAGGTGCCGTGTGGGGGCGTCTGGCTCTGGCTGCGGCGCCGTGGCAGGGCCGGGCGCGTGCGGCCCAGGTGCGGAGGCGCGACGTCGAGGCGGTGGCGCGGAGGAGCAGCAGGAGGACCGCCGTTGTCCTCCTCGAGTCGACCGCGGAGATAGGAGGAGCAGACTGGGGGCGCGGAGGAGCAGCGAGGCCGAGCTGGCGTCCATGGCGGGCGGCGACGGCGGTGAGGAGGGTGCCGGGGCGGGGTCTGCCCGGCCGACTTGGCGTCCATGGCGGGCGGGGCGGGCGGTGAGGAGCAGGGGCGGTGAGGAGACGCACGGGCGAGGCCTGGCCAAGCCAGGCTCCAGAAAAACGCCTGCCCCTCACGTTCTTTGTTGGCCAGGCTAGGGCCGTACGGATGCCCCCCCCCCGAAGCCAGGCTCCCGCCCATCTACAGCCAACCAAACAAGCTCATCTTGGCTCCAGGAAACCAGGCTAGGAGTTAGCCACCTAACCAAACACACCCTACATGTTTGGAAAGTTACATACTTGGTAGTAGCATTTAGTTAAATTTGTCAAGAGGTCCTTGAATGATCATTTACCAGTTCATATAATCAAGCACGTATATGGGAGTTGAGATCATGGGTATGAATAACATATTGATCACTGCATATAGTATGACACCTTGTGGAGGTATTTTCTGCATCTGATATTTTGCCTGCTTGGTGTTAAGTTGTTTGTTGTTAATATGTCTAAAATGGCCCAATTTAAGGTGGTTGTTCTAGAAATGCAATATTATTTCCATATTAAAAAATGATTAAATTCCTATGCAGGCTCGTGAAATTGTAAAAGCAAACAACCTAATTGATCAGGTTGTGGTCATCCATGGACGTGTTGAGGTGAGGTTACCATTTTATGTTTATTCTCAATTACTGCTGATTGCATTCTTCAATATGTGATGTCGTGTTGGTAACTTGGCATTGTTGTTTTTTCATGTTTAGAACAGGTTTTTTATTACGTTTAATTGTTCTTATCTGCATTTGGAGTGAGCATATTGCTTTTTCATGCTTAGAACAAGCTTTTCTATTCTGTATATTGGTATGGCATAATCTCTTCATTAATACCACTATTGTATAAATGCATTTAGTTTTTTTATTCCATACACTTTTGCTCTTCTTCATTAATACCACTATTGTATAAATGCATTTATGTTTTTTATTCCATACACTTTTGCTTTTGATCTGCATTATATTTTCGTTGCTGTTGAACTGGCAGTGTAGGATGTCGACCTTGAGGAGAAGGTTGATGTGATAATATCAGAATGGATGGGCTATATGCTTCTCTATGAGGTTTATATTTCAATGCTGTTTCTTTTCATTGCATTTCAATGTTCTCTTACTTTAATCGGTTCTAAATTCTTCTGTTTTTTTTCCTGTAGAGTATGCTGCCAAGTGTCCTATTTGCAAGAGATAAATGGCTTAAACCTGGGGGTCTTATTCTTCCTTCTCATGCTACGGTATAATTAGCACTCAAAAAATGTTACACTGCTTTTACAGGATGTACCTCATCTATTTGCTTGTACAAGTCATTTACTAATTTTTAGTTTACATAGGCAGAAGTAATATCTCTGATAACTCTAAATACTAAATGTTTCAAATATAAGGGCCATATCATGTGTGAGCCATTAATGGTTTCTGGCTCAAAATCTTGATTTACCATTTTATGGAATGAGAACCAATGGTTTATGATATATCATTGTCCAAAGCTGAATACTTGTCCACTTGTCCATGATCCTTTCCCATAGCTCTTCATGGCTCCCATAACAAATCCCGAGAGATACGAAGGCAGTGTTGATTTCTGGCATGATGTCTATGGCATAAACAGTAAGCTACTGCCCTATCTATTCTAGAGTTTCAGTATGCATTGTGGGTGCTGTCAGATACTCAGATCTTGTATGGTGGCTTCTGATGCTATATTTTGATCATAAACCTTTTCTGCTGCAGTGTCTGCTCTTGTGCCACTTGCCAAAAAGTTTACATCTGAGGAACCTTCCATTGAAACAATTGGCGGAGAGAACGTTATAAGTTGGCCAGCTGTGGTGAGTCTTGGGAAAGCTTTTCTGAATCATAAAATGTCGAGCAATAATCATATTTACTCATTACAGCCTTTTGTGATTGAACTCTAATTGCATTTGTCCCATTCTTTATGCCCTGGGGTGCACACTGTGTACAGTTCAAGCACATCGATTGCTATAATTTTACAGCTGAGGAATTCAAATCTATCACCACGAAATACAAAGTTTCGTCAATGATGTTAGGTGAATTCTGTGACTTCAATCATAATCTCTATCCTGTCTTCTGAATTTGCTATGTTAACTTCTCTGTATTATAGTATGATACTATCTGTTTTTTTTCAAGGACTGTGATATGTTACCTAATGCTGAATGGCATGAATCCTTGTAATACATGGCATCTTTTCTATTTTTAAAACTAATATATCGACGTTCACACGTGCTCCTTTCTATCACGGGCTTTTAGGAGCAATATTGGCCAATTTGGCAAATCCCTTAAAGAGAATTAAGATGGTTCCCTTAGTGGGCGGTGCAGGGCTATTTCACTAATGTAGTTTTTCAATTATTATATATAGGGAACTAAGCTGGTTTGTCAACTACTCAGCTGTAGCATGCTTTTAGATTCTGTTTAAACTGCTTTTCTGTAAATATAAAGTTAAACCATAGGTAAAACTCATACAATGTCAACTGTTTGGTAACGATATTTGTTATCACTTATGACTTTAGCTGCGAAACAAAAAAATGTGGGTTGATCTTTATCATACTGCGATTGGTGATAGTTTTCCCATGCCCCACTCTTAGTTTGTTCTATGTTGGCAATGGTATTTTGCCATTAGTTGAGTTAACACCTATTACAAACACTGTTTGCTCATTAATTATACTAAATTAGTTAGTCTTTATGCACTATATATTATGTTGTCAACTCATTTAAAGCCTAATTTCTGTCTGCTATTTTTATTATGTTACTTGGTCCGTTCTCACCAATATTCGGTCCTACAATGACAGCAGTTGTTAAAGTTGAATAGATTAATTTCCATATCATTTTGTAGACCGTTTATTTGCATCCCCCTTCATCTAAGACTTAAATAAACTATAGGAGACATCAGCAACCTTCTGCTATGCCTTTATTTACGTAGCATTCTTATAAGCCTGTGCCAAGTAGATGCACAATTTCTTAATCTATCTTTTAAGTAAAATAATACTTAAATTTATACCAACTGATGTCTGATTGTTAACCATAGACAAAAGAACTAGAATTGATCTATACAGGAAATTGAGATGGCACCATTTCTCCCTTTTGCTTATGATCATTAATTGTTTCTTTCAGTTCAATCTAAAGTTTGCAGTTGTACTTGTTTACTCTACTTACAAAAATATGCGGAGTCTAGGATTATTATTTTTCTACTAAATTCACATGATAAATGTCTTATATAAGTTCCTGAATAAGAAGTCTAAAATTTCTGTTTTGCCTGTGTGAAGCTCCTATTCATGGCTTTGGTTTCTGGTTTGAGGTGGAGTTCAATGGGCCTGCAGAGTCCTCTCATAATTTTCCTTCCAATTTGGATCCACTTGAGATTATTCAGAAGAAAAGGAGACGATCATCAGAAGATACAGTTTTGTCCACAGCCCCAGAGGATGAGCCAACCCATTGGCAACAGGTTTGATTTGTAATAATGGCTTTTTCCGTTTTCCATCACGAAAGAACTTATTTCAGTTTTCTTGTTCTTTTAGAGTAATAATATTGATCTTGGGTCATCTTCTGCAGACTATTTTGTATTTCCCAGATCCTATAGAGGTGAAGCAGGACCAAATTATAGAAGGTTCTGTAACAGTGTCCCAGAGCGAGGAGAACCCACGTTTTCTGAATATTCATCTAGAGTGCACGTAAGTTCCTCTGTCATACTACGGTAGTTCCATCCAAGTTATGCTGCTGCTTGAATGTTGTTTATAGCAATAGTTGCTCAGTAAAACTGTCACTGTCTGATTTTTTTTATCATGGATACAGTTTGGGTGTGGTTTATCACAATGAGTAGCATGTAATCCTGTTCCGAAGTTGTCTATTGCCAGTCTAGCATTCCATATAGGCATAGAGTTGCAAGGATGAACAGTGACATAAGCTGCCTAATCCATGGAGCATTCATGCATGTTTAGGAAGTTCCAATGTTTTGGGACATAGGAAAAGTCAATCAGTAAGTCCTTCCAGTCATTGTTCATGCCACATGTATGGTTTAGTTTGGGAACAGGATAGGTCGAGGTCTCAGAATGAACCACGATTTGATCCAAAATGTCCATGCATCGATCTAGCAATTTGCTGTCATGTGTTATAGAGGACGTGAAGAAGTTTGCTACTATCAAGTTTGCATTCACACCACTTGTGCTGCACTGTATATTGATATCACACATTTTAACACTAGTTTTGCATTAAGATATGAATAATCTGCACATAACCTTTGTATCTTGGTTATAGATCAATTAGAACTCTTGCTTCACTCCCTTATGCTCTCGTCTTGGTACAACAGCACAGGAGGACAGACATTGGTGAAGGACTGCGCCATGCGATGAACTGGTGTTTTTATACTTTTATAGTGGCTGGAGTTCCCTGCCAAAGATCATACAGCTTGCAAAAGGGCATTGGCAGTGAGGAGCTGAAGACAGGATTTCAGATTTCTTTAATGGAAGCAGAGTTTTTACTATTTATGCAAATTTTCGTCTAATATGAAGGCAGGATTTCAGTAATTGTACTTTTTCTTATTCTATAGAGTATAGACTAGTAGTTGATTTTGCATCCGCACGCTGTGATCATGCCTCAGTCTCGCAGTCTAGGAGTTTGGGATGAGATGAGAGAAGGATAAAGTAGAAAATGGTGGGATAAACTGAGATAACCAGTTTTTCCTCGTCGACCAAAAAGGATACTTTTAACTGCTGAGACATTGATTATTGAGCCTTTTCTTTGGGTGTTTGGGTGTTTGAATCCAGCGACTAAAGTTTAGGGGTGTCATATCAAAAGTGTTCGGACAGTAATAATAAAATAAATTACAAAAGTCCTCAGTAATCTACGAGACGAATTTATTAAGTCTAATTAGTCCATCATCAGCACATGTTTACTGTAGCACTACATTGTCAAATCATGGACTAATTAGGTTTAAAAAATCGTCTCGTAAATTAGTCTCAACATGTGCATTTAGTTTTGTAATTAGTCTATATTTAATACTTTATACATGTGTTTAAACATTAATGTGGTAGAGACTAAAATTTAGGTGGGGGACAAACAAGCAAGCCTTTTCTTAGTCATGGTGGGAAAGCCTGCAGAAAGGGGAGACTTTGTTGATAGTGTTGCCCAATTGCGAGTCAAGTTTGTCTGTCAAGTGAATCTCTTACTGCTCCTTTTTGCTGCAGTAGAACACAGATTAGGTGTGCATGATATTAGCAGAAAATAGCAGGCGTAACTGTCCCCAGTGCAGTGCCAGTTCCAGATTGCTTTGGAAAATGGAATCCTGCATGTGGCTGAAACCGGCCTTACTTTATGATGTTTTTCCAATATGTTTCGGTTGAAACATTCATATAATGTTAAGGCCCCGTTCGGTTTCTTTGGAATCCTTCCCAGTCGGACCATTCTTTCACAAAATTATATAATGTCGGAATTATTCTGGACGTGGAATGGCTCATTCTGTAGAAAACGAACGAGGCCTAAGGGAGAAATGTGGGGGTCATACGTATCCTGAAGCCGCATTATTGGTCCCTGGCACTGTTGCACAAGCCAAGTGAAACATGTTCATCGCATTGCAGCCTTTGGCTCCTTCCACAGGCCAAGTGAACGTGTTCATGACATCCCATCGCAGCCTTGCACAAAGCGAAAATGTTCATTTTCCCCTCTATGCAGATTGCAGAGACCATCACCCACGGTTTCAGTGCAGGCGCACGACACCGATCATGGTGCTGGACAGGCATCTCAGTGGCATGGCTACACACTGCCTTGGAAGGTGAGCCGGTGCGTGGAGGTCAAATGCTGAACTCTCGGGGCCGTTCGCTGGTCGGTGCTGGTGCTGGTTTGGACTGACTGGTGCTGACTTTTTTGAGAGAAAACACTGTTGACTGGCTGATTTAGGCTGGCCGAAACCAACAAGCCAACAGGTTGTCTCAACATAGGGATGAAAACGGATCGGATACGAACGGATATCACTAATATTACATTTGTTTTCATATTTTTGTCCGGATTCGGATTTGAATACGGATAGTGTCAACCATATCGGATAGGATACGATTGGATATCGACATCATAAATATGTGATTTGAGTATTCGGATACGGATACGGTATCGGATGTTGAATATTCGGACTCGGATACGAACATATCTTAGCCCCTTTAAACGGATTCGGTCTCGAATACGGTCGGAAAATATCCGTACCATTTTCATCCCTACTCAACAACATTCCAAACTTCAGGAATCAGGACCTTTCCTAACACAAAGGAAAGACATTTTTCTTCTTGACACACTCTCTGTTACCTCTATTTACGTACTACTAGGGGGTACTTCCGTACTTGTGTATATATATATACACTGTCCAATACATTCTCATCCCGTATGCCTACGTTTAAAACGCAACGCATGCATGTGTACGCCCGCCACTAGGCAAAGTAAGCTTGCGTTTAACTAGACACATTGATCTAGCAGGTGGCGGGTCCAAAACCAATGTATCCGTTGGCCGAGTCGACGGTGATCTGGATCCCTTCCTGCTGTATATTCCCCAAGATGGACAGGCCCGACGACGACGGCGCGAACGCTAGGCAATATATGCCGCCGTCCACCTCCAGCAGCAGGTTCCTCGCCGGCAGCGTCAGCGTGGCGGCGCCGTCGAAGTAGAAGGACACGGTGGGCACGCGCACGCTGGTGTACCCGCTCAGGTCGTAGCACGTGTCAAGCAGCGACACGCCCGGCGCGCGCGGGAGCGCGCCCACGGCGCCCACAAACGCGTCGCGCAGCGCCGCGTACCCCTCCTGCGGCAGCCGCGTCACGGCCGTGCCCGTGTCCATCACCACTCCGCCGGTGCCATCCTCTGTCAGCTGGAACAGGCCGTCCTGCAGCGGCAGCCTCTCGTCGCCGACGCCGATCCCCGACACGCCGACGTAGTAGAAGCTCGGGGCCTGCGGGTTGCGCACGAGCGGCACCCACACGGCGCCCTCCGGCACCGCCTCGCTCCGCCCGAGCACCAGTGACCCGGCGTCGTTGTCGGCGCCACCAGAGCCGCCGCGGCTCGCGAGGCAGTAGCTGAACGCGCCGCCGGCCGCGCCGCCGAGTTGCCCGACCAGCGACATGGGGCCCCAGCCGAGGCCCAGCAGCCCCGCCGCCCCGACGAAGAGGCCGCGGTTGCGGTGGCCGCAGCCGATGGCGACGCCCTCCACCGCCGTGCCGCCCAGCGTGAGCGTCTCCAGCGCGAGCGCGCCCTTGGTGTACGACCCGTCCCCGTAGGACACCTCGTACTCGCAGCCGCCCGAGTCGCCGCACCCGGAGGTGCGCAGCGTCCGGCAGATGGCCGACCCGCACGACACGCCGGAGAAGGTCGCCGACGTGGCGGGGTCAAAGAGCGGGTCCGCCTGCGCGTAGCACTCCAGGCACGGCTTGCACTGCACCCAGATGACGTCGCTGCCGGAGTCCACCACGAGGTACTGCTCCGTGGGCGGCGAGCCGATCCCGACGCGGACGAAGTACTCGCCGCTGCCCTCGTCGAGCCCCGACACCACCTTCGACTCCGAGCCGAAGAAGTCCGTCGGCTGGTACGCCGGGGACAGGCGGCTCGCGAGGTACTCGGCGCGTGCATTGTCACGGGCCACGAGGTCGAGCACCGCGTGGCGACGCGAGGGGTACGTCGAGCCGGTGACTGCGTCGCGGCGCACTAATGCGAACGAAGGGCGGCGGTCGCGGCTGCCGTGGGAAGAAGACGACGACGACGGGGAGGAAGAGGAGGTTCTCGTCTTGGTGGTGAAGTTGTGACGGTTGATGTAGTGGAAGCGTAGGGATGATGCATGGGAGATGATGACCATGGATGTGAAGAGGAAGACGAGGAGAAGCTTGGTGGCCGCGGCGTGCATGGCTCTTTTTGTCTAGCTGCTTCGCGCTTCCACTGCGAAGTGAGGTTGGATGAGTGAGGGGGTGGATTTATCTGTGCCTGCTCATGCCATGCGTGTCACGCACAGATAGCTTCTATGCTACTCTTGTCCACAAGTTGTCATTTGCACCTGCTATGTAGTGCAGCGGCAGTGTACCTGCAGTAGTGGCAGAAGCAAATGGTGTGGTTGGTGCACAAGAAGTGCAGCAGCATAGGTGTGTGTTCCTACATGCATGCTTGCCCACTTACCTTTCTTCTCCTCACAATTTACTCATTTAAAATTGAAAAAAAGAAAATCACACCATAGCAGACTTTGGTTGAGATTTCACCATATAAGCTGTTTATTGTAAAGGTCCACCCCATGCCAAGTTTTGTTGCAAAAACTACCCCACAATACATAAACTAAGCATGTTTTGCCCATCCTAGAGCGCTTGCCGTGTTCTTTATATCAAAGTCGATAAAGCCCTCTTTGGCACGGCTCATCCAAAACGGCTTCACCGGTGAAGCCTAAGCCGATGAAGCCAGAAAAACTGGTTTTCCCGGCTTCTAGTTCATTTTAACCCCGGCTTACAAAACGGCTTCACGCTACAGTGCCTCGATTTGCGCAAAATAGATGAAACCGAAGCCGGCATAAGCCGTGCCAAAGAGGCCATAAATATAAAATGCCTCATAAATGGAACGTCCAAGTCCAAGTGACATATGAGTTGGCTTCTACAATCTTTCGTATAAACTTTGATTTTGAAGTGGGAAAGCTTTTATGCAATTCTCCCTTTAAATATATCTGAAGAACATGTTTTGTTGAACAGTAGTCATGCATAATTCACGACTAAAGCCAAGATATTGTTTATTAACATGCATGTGCGTGCTTGGAAGTGAAGTTGGATCAGAGTCAGGGGGGTAGCGAGGCAACATGATTCAGATTTGTCAGTTTTTGGCATTTTGAGTCCTTTATTAAGGTGCCACTTTCCCTCCTTAGCTTTTCCTTGAATAAAAATGCCTTTTGCTAATAGATTCGATCTTGTCCTTTACTATCTTTCATGCTACTACTTCTTTAATTTTCTCAGAGCCAGTTAATTAGATATACTTAGAGCAAGTATAACAGCAGGTTGTAAGCCGGCTGAATGCTGAGGTGGAGGAGAGAGGAGAGAAGTGGGCTATAAGCTTACAGTCAGCTTAGACATAAGAACCGAGAAACTTTTTGAGAGAGACAAGTGGACCATGTATTAATAGTAAAGAGCTAACTATTATATAGATGGACTAAGAGAAGGCTGCAAAGATTCTTACAGCCGGCTATATTATTAGCCTAGCTCTTATTGAGCAGTACTGAACAAATAATAATGATCAGAGATGTTTAAGAGCTTTTTGCTAATTATATTTCCACTCTTTGTAGAACAAGTATGCAAGGCATACAAGCAAGGCCTTCAGGACTCTAGCAGCTGTATCTTCTGCGACCAACTTCCGGAGACTATGCACCACATCATCATCGGCTGCGTCTATAGCAGAGAGGTCTGGTACATCATACTCAACAAGCTTCACCTAGCTGATGTTATCACCGTCCAGGAAGAGGATGTTCTTGTGTGGTGGCTGCGCAGCAGGAAGTTGCTTCAGAAACAAGTGCGGAAGGGATTTGATTCTCTATTCTTTCTTATTGGCTGCACACTTTGGAAAGAGAGGAACACCAGGACTTTCGACGGAAACCCCACTTCTCCGGGCAACTTATCTGTTCGCATGCTCGTATACGATCATGGATTATAAGCTGGAACAGTATTTTTCTCTCACACCAAACCAGTCAGAAGTAAATAATTCACGATCGTTTACGACGAAACGAACAGGCTGTTAGCTCGCAAGATCCAGGAGGAGGCCGATGAGGGGTGTCTAGCGGGTTTCAAGCATCTGCTGTCTTTGCTTGCGCTGCTGTAGGATGGTAGCCCCCCTGTCGCAAATTTGTTAAGCTGTAAATCACGTTCACGTTGTTAGCTAATCTACTGCCACCTTGTGTGAACACAGCAGAGGAAGGCGGCGCCGACTTAGCTGCCTGCTGTGTGTGAACACAGCAAGGGAAGGCGGCGCCGACTTTGCCCACTGCTGTGATACAGTAGCCGCTGCAGGTGCAGGCGCCGCACGGCTCACCTGCAGCACTGTAGGAACAGGCAGTGGCCGGCGCAGAGTCAGCCCTGTCAGGTTATCTAGTTACTGTGCCAGCATGGGCGCTGCACATGGACTAGATAGTTAGAGTTGTATAAATGGACATGTATGGCAACTCAGTAAAGAGAGCTCAGATTTACCATCACACAGACAGGGCATCGGCCAACGTTGTTGTTTTGTATTGTGCGTGCTTGCTCTGTTCTCTCTTCTTCTTCTAGCTCGATCCGTAGTGTGTGGGTACGGACAACGCCGGTACGTGGTCTGCACGGCTAGTGTGTGCTCGGCAATACTAGCGCGTGCTTGGCGAGACCGTCAAGTGCTCCACTCGCCTGAGCCGGTGCTCGGCAAGATCGGCTGGAGTGGTTCACTGTCGTGAGCCGGTGATCCTGTGAGACCAACGGAGTGGTCTGGGAGACTAGTGGTCTGGGGCTAGTGGTCTGGGAGACTAGTGGTCTGGGGCCAGTGGTCTGGGAGGCTAACTGTGGGCCAACAAGTGGTATCGGAGCCATACAGCGCCATCGTCATTCTAACCGATTGCGAGGACAGGCGGTTTGGAGTTGGGCGATGGCAGTGGCACTGTCATAGCTGCCCAGCCACTACCGGAGGTAGTTGTCCGCACGGTGTGGGAGGTCAGCGGCACCACTTGGCCGACGCTGACTCGCACTAACTATGGAGAGTGGTTGGTGACCATGAAGGTCAAGCTCAGAGTCCGACAGCTCTAGAATGCTGTTGACAAGGGCACCGACGTGGAAAAAGACGACATGTCAGCGTTGGAGGCTATCCTCGCTGCTGTACCGGTGGAGTACAGGGAACCATTGGGGACGAAGAGCTCTGCTAAGGAGGCGTGGGAGGCCATTGCGGCGATGCGCGTCGGTTCCGACCACGCAAAGAAGGCGACGACCCAGCTTCTAAAGTAGGAGTACGCAAACCTCAAGTTCAAAGATGGTGAAACGGTGGCGGACTTCTCCCTCCGCCTGCAGACGCTCATCAGCAAGCTGAAGAGCCATGGCGTCACCATCGACGAAGAGGAGGCGGTCTCCAAATTTCTCCACTCCGTGCCGGCAAAGTACATCCAGATCGCTCTCTCCATAGAGACGATGCTGGACTTGTCCACCCTCACCATCGAGGATGTGGCAGGTGAAAGGTCTTAATGGCTAGAGGGGGGGTGAATAGCCTAATAAAATTCTACAACAACACTTAACAAAATATGTTAGACAATTTTGCGGCGAAGCGAGTGTTGCGCTAGCCTACTCAAAGATGCAAGCCACCTACCACAATTCTATTTCGAATAGTGTATATCCACACAATAGCTATGACACTTAGCTAAATTAGTGTGCTCTCAAAGACTAACTAAAGAGCAACACTAATCAAACAAACAAGCTCTCACAACTAGCTACACTAAAGAGCTTGATAACTAGTTTGCGGTAATGTAAGAGTGAGCAAGAGAGTTATACCGCCGTGTAGTGGTAGGAACCAATCAATCACAATAATGAATACCAATGTATACCAATCACCTCGGAATCAAATGATGAACACAATGATTTTTACCGAGGTTCACTTGCTTGCCGACAAGCTAGTCCTCGTTGTGGCGATTCACTCACTTGGAGGTTCACGCGCTGATTGGCATCACTCGCCAAACCCTCAATAGGGTGCCGCACAACCAACACAAGATGAGGATCACACAAGCCACAAGCAATTTACTAGAGTACCTTTTGGCGCTCCACCAGGGAAAGGTCAAGAACCCCTCACAATCACCACGATCGGAGTCGGAGACAATCACCTCCTCCACTCAACGATCCTTGCTGCTCCAAGCCGTCTAGGTGGCGGCAACCACCAAGAGTAACAAGCGAAATCCGCAGCGAAACACAATCACCAAGTGCCTCTAGATGCAATCACTCAAGCAATGCACTTGGATTCACTCCCAATCTCACTATGATGATGAATCAATGATGTAGATGAGTGGGAGGGCTTTGGCTAAGCTCACAAGATTGCTATATCAATGAAAATGTGCAAGAGAGAGAGCTTAAGCCGGCCATGGGGCTATAAATAGAGCCCCAGTCAAATAGAGCCGTTATACCCCTTCACTGGGCAAAACACGCTCTGACCGGACGCTCCGGTCATACTGACCGGACGCTGGCCCTCAGCGTCCGGTCGCCCGATGGACGCCACGCATCACCAGCTTCAAACGCTGTTCGTCAGATTTCAACGGCTGTGAAGCTGACCGGACGCTCCGGTAAAACTGACCGGACGCTGAAGCCCCAGCGTCCGGTCGTTTCCAGTAAGCTCCCCGAGGCATGTTTTTTTGACCGGACGTGTTCGGTCCACCTTGACCAGACGCAGCCAGCGTTCGGTGCTCAACCCTAGCCACTATGCCGTCTGACAGCTTGACCGGACGCAGCCTTTCAACCCTACAAACACCTTGTGCACATGTGGTAGCATATTTACACAAATATTATCAAGGGTGTTAGCACTCCACTAGATCCTAAATGCATATGCAATGAGTTAGAGCATCTAGTGGCACTTTGATAACCGCATTCCGATACGAGTTTCACCCCTCTTAATAGTACGGCTATCAAACCTAAATGTGATCACACTCTCTAAGTGTCTTGATCATCAAAATAAAATAGCTCCTACAAGTTATACCTTTGCCTTGAGCTTTTTGTTTTTCTCTTTCTTCTCTTCAAGTTTAAGCCCTTGATCATCTCCATGCTATCACCATTGTCATGTTATGATCTTCATTTGCTTCTCTACTTGAAGTGTGCTACCTATCTCATGATCACTTGATGAACTAGGTTAGCACTTAGGGTTTCATCAATTTACCAAAACCAAACTAGAGCT